CATCCTGTCAGTGGCACAAGGCCACAGCCAGTGCTCTATGGTGGAGCAACTCAAAGAATCTCAGAATGGTTTGGATTGGATTAAAACTCATCTCATTCCACCCCTGCCACAGACAGGAACATTTCCACTAGCTGGGATAGCTCCAAGCCCTGTCCACCCTAGCCTTGGACACATCCAGGGATCCAGGGCAGCCACAGTTTCTCCAGGCAGCCTGTGCCAGGGTCTCAAGATTTTCACAGGGAAGAATTTCTTCCTAAAATCTAATAAAAAAACTACTTTCACTTAAAGTAATTCCATCTTATCCTATCGCCTCCATGCCCTTGTAAAAAGTCCTTTTTCAGCTTTCATGTAGGCTTCCTTCAGACACTGCCTATTTTAAGGTCTCCCCAGAGCTTCCTCCAGGCTGAACAGCCCCAACTCTCCCATCCTGTCCTCTTAGGAGAGGTTCTCCAGCCCTCTGATCATCTTTGTGGCCCTCCTCTGGTTTTGTTCTACAGATCCATGTCTTCATGGAAGGTTAAAATGTTTGGATCCCATCTACAGCTCAGGATGACCCATGACAATCTGGCTGATGTGTGAGCAAGGAGCACTCAGCTGCTCTTTGCTCAATATTTGGTGGTTTTTTGTTTCCTTTCACCAATGTTTTTAAAACACAAAGGCAAAGGAATAAGCAGTAAACAAACCCCTTTCTGAACCAAGACACCAAGGAAGAAGGCAACAAGGTGTGTTCCTCTGTAATACAGTCCCCGGAGGCCATTTTCCTTTCATTTTAGAAGAGGAAATAGATGTAACCTACACATTGGCACRGCTTTCTCTGCACTCTGAACAATAGCAAATGTTGCAGGTTGAAGGCACAACAGAGGAAATTCTCAGTGGTTTCAGCTATCGCCCCAGCCAGGATTAGTCTCAGCTCAAGAACTGTCCTGAGTCCAGAGRACATCCTTTGGGGGCTGTGGGAGAGAAGAGGCACAGCAGTGCACATCCAGTACACCTTCCTCCCCATTTTCAAAACTGWCTGAGCTGCAAAGGAAAGCTCCCAGGCCAACACCAGCACGGAGAGCACGGATGATGCAGAACCTTGCAGGCTTCAGCTGCCACAAGCAAGGTGCTGCACGGTTCCTTCATCCTGCTCCCCAGTGCTGACCAGGAGAGATTTTGCAAGGGTGYCAAAGACCTTGGTGACTGTCCACACACCCTGAGGACTTAGAGAGGCTCCTGACAGCAGCATTTTGTAATTATGTGGGAAGAAAGGTTTTCAATTCTCCCAGATGAGACACCGCCTGTAAGGCACAAGCAAACAAGTATGTGCTGACCTTGGTTTGAAACCCAAACAGCTTCCAAGCAATGCAGAAAGAGTCACTTAGGAAAGATGTGAGGAGAGCAAGGAGGCACTGCCACAGCATGAAGCCCCAAACCAAATGTGCTTTATTAATTACATGGAAGAAAAGGCTGAAGTGTCAGTGTCAGTATTCTAATAGAACAGCAACAGGTGGATCTAGCACGTGTCAGGTCCACCCATACCCAAGGATCTGCTGGACATACTGGGCTCACCCCAGGCACACCTTGCTCAGTTCTGTTGCATCCCTTTTCATCATGCCAAACTGGAATTGAGCTAAATTATATCCACCTGATAGGAGCAAGATGCAATTTTGTGAGCTGCTTCAGGAGAAACATCCCACTGTGCASTGCCATCCTGCCAAACCACCTAGGGGGAGGCTGGGGAGGGAGGAGGGGAAGGTTTGCAGCCTGGTTTGAGGTTTCACCCCCCTGAGCAGCTCCAAAGAGCCCAAAACAGAGCCAGGAGATTCTGGAGGATGAACTTCCCAGGATCCATTTCCAAAAGAAGCAAGGACCTGAGGGGTCAAGAAATCAATACCAGGGCAGCCAGAACTCCAGCACAAAATGTAAGACAGAACTKTGCCAATGGTGAACAAAATCACATCAGTTTGTTCATTCTAGGTGTCCCTACCTGTTTTCCCCAATCAACTCACAAATTTTATGTCATTTTGCAGCCAGGGCAGAAAAAGAGTTGCAATCTTCATCCCAYCAGTCTGCTCTTTCCGCACCTTGTTGCCTTGAAAAAAGGGGAGTGGGGTGTGGATGCTCAGCAAGCAGCTTGGGCTGAGCTGGGTCCAGCAATGCCAATGTCACCAATGAATGGAACAGCCTTTTTCRCCCTCCCCTGTGGCAGTACTGCTGTATCCCTGCTGTAACAGCCTCATTTGCTCCAAAGGACAGCACCAACAGTGCTGAATGACCATTTGCCAGGGTCAGTCATCATAACCTGGGCAACCTGTCTGCTCATTGACCGTCCCTCCACCCCTGGTTACATGTTCTGAAGGGTAAGGCTTAGGTTGTCACTCTGCCGGATACCTGTTATTTGCAATTCTTGTCAGACTGGGGCAGGCTAAAAGTACAAATGGGGAAAAAATAATCTGGGAATTSCTACAGAGAATTGGGCCACTGAACCTGTTTACTGCAGTGTTGTCCATTTGTCAACAAAAGCAAGCACGTGCATCTCTGCCATCCTCGGTTCCAGCACAGGAACCAGGCTGAGATACCAATTCAAAACCAGGCAAACCCTCTCTGTGGGACTGCTCCGAGCTGGATGTCACCAACTACAACCAACACATGGGGGAGAAAAGGGAAAACAAGTGCCCTCCCATAAGACAGTAGAGGTCATTATGACCAATATGATAGTTGTAAAACCTGCAGGGACACATCAATCTCTCAGCCTCCTGCAAACACCTCTGCATAAAATTCCCCAGCATCTCAAAGTGCTGGAGAACAGCCACAACAGGAAGAATGATAACTGTTCAGGAATTAGAATTGATCTCCTACTGCCTGATAAACACTGCTAGCCTGGGGTTGTTGACTCAAAGCCAAGTTCTGCTAAATGGACAAAGTTTCCAAGTCAACCCTTCCTGGTGTTTGACAAGGTAAAGGGAAGGAACCGAAGACAGCTCAAACAAAGCAGGTATTGTTTCCTGTAGGCTCCGGAAAGACGTGAGTGCATGACCCATCAGAAGAAAGTGAGGAAAAGAAGCCGGGCTGGCATGAAAGCAGAGGCAAGCAAAGAGTCAGTTTGGATGATCTGGACAAGGAAAGTGTTCACCATGTGCCTCCCCAAGGGCAGGGCCAAGGTCAGTAACTTTCCCTTGGCCAATGTGTGCTTGCAGGATCTGAGCAGGTCTCTGTTCAAAGCCCTGCAGAAGGAGGACTCTACCTCTTCTGCACCAAAGGTTACTCATCTCCTGCCTTAAAATGTGTCCCTTTCTTTCYATTTAACTCCATGTTAATTCTGCTTCCAACCATTAGCTCTCATACTTCTCTTCCCTAAATTCTGTAAATCACACTATTCCCCCTTGTATGTGGAGATCCTTACTGCAACCAGTGCAACTCTTACYTTTTTTTACAGCTAAGTAAGCAGAATGCAAAGGAGGAGCTAAAGCTCCACTGTGGCTTCCTGGAAGGGCTGCTCCTGGCTCAGAGAGCTGCAGCCACATCCACATTTGTTTCTCCGGGTGCTGACTGGCCCTTTCCAGCAGGAAAGGCTCCAGAGAGCACATCAGTCTCTTGGGAACTGGCTGATGTGAAACASAATGGGGAAGGGAGGAACACACATGGTGGTGCCTTTTTGGTCCCATGAGAGCCCAGGTAACCCAAGAGCCATGCTTCTTCCAACTCTCCTCCTAGATTCTCCCTCCACCTGGGAATGACCCTGGGGAGACTGCCTGCCAACACAGCAGCAAACACATCAGCAAAAGAGGCTGCCTGTTTCCTTGTTTCTGTTCAAAATATTCCTAGTGTAAGTGAACGTTCTTTGGAACATGC